ATCGTAGCAGCAGACTTCTAGAGACAGGTGAACAATAATATTTGTAAAGCAGAACCTTTCTAGAGAAAAGATTAAAGAGAAAAGAAATGATTGGTGAGATTGCAGCCATAAAATGAGAACTAACATACAGCTGTTTCTATGCAATTTCACTCAGTCAAATTGAATTCGGTAAGAGATTTCTGGAAAAGCACTTTAAACCCTTTTGCAATGAAATTAGTAAGCTACACTCTGTATATAGGACAGCTTCCAAAAGAGAATGATTAACTCCTTCTGCTTTCCTTAGATTTTTACTTTAAATTTCTTTTCTTGCATACTAAATGATACCTTTTCCTACATTTTTAACTTTCTAAAAATATATCTTTAGAGATTAATTAACTTAGATCCAATGGGGTAGTAAAGAGTTACAAGTGGGTTCCCACCTAGTAGTAGAAAACAGAGATATCCGAAAACTATCTTAGAACTATATAAAATCCCTGGCTGAGCTGACAACACAATCACTCAGGTGACTCTAGGAAGAACAGTAAAATGATAAACTCAAGCAGTAGTCTCCAAAGCAGAGGACCAAAGAGGTTAATTGGCATACAAAAAGAAAATAGAACTATTTATATTTAACATCTTTTATTTTAAAAATGAGAAATCAAGCTTTACTAATTTAAGACTTGGAGAGACATCAATGCTCTTACTCAGTCCACATGTCATAAGACCATAACACTGGTAAGTCCCTTGAGGTATCCTGAAGGAGAACTAGGAGTTCCCAGGTACCAATATCAACAGTGGTTAACTGGTTCCTTCATTTACTCTCAAATTTCAATGTGTTACCATTTACGTCTGACCATCTAAGTGGATTTACAGAGTATATTATTTCACACAGTAAAATATTTACAATTCTTCAAAACGACATGGTGTGTGACCTGGAAAACCTTTTCCCACACAAAGATTTTCCGATTATCTCAAAGGGAACTCCTTGTTTCTAAACTCAAAGACTAGTTATGCATGACTCTTTTAAAGAAAAGAAAATGCCCCAAATTTGCTGACCTGCTCTGTGATGACAAGTGGTTGTCAGTAGTGCCTGTGCAGCAGGTATTTTCAAAAGTACATCCAGGCTGTTCCTTCAAAGTAAAAGTGACAGTCTAACTATCCATTAGAAAGCCACCTGAAGTGAGCATTTTGAAAATGCATATTTGGAAATGTTTTCAGCGTTATGCGGTTTTCGTTGCCAGAAACTATAAGTACTCATTAACCATATAGTTTAAAGTTGGAAATAAAATTTCTTAATCTGTTTAAAATATTCCTCACAAAAGCGTGAGTGGACTTTTTAACCTATTCCCTTTAAAATATTAAAATTCCCAGCTTTCCCAATAGTTTGTAAGGACCAACTGACATCAGGTTAGATGAAAGACTGCCAGCTGAATTTTGTAAAAACCTGTACAAAACTGAAGAATGAACCCTGCCTTTAGCAAACGTAGTCAACAAATTATTTCTTCAATTCAGAATGACATATCCTTGTGAGGCATATTTTTAACTATGACAGACATTAAAACAAAGTATAAAAATAAACTGAACTGAGAGACCTATAATCATTGCATTACTAAGTATTCAACTAAGATTTTAAAAAATGATGAAGCATAATTGTCAATCAGTTAATTTATTGTTATCATTAAAGATATAATATTTATAATACATAATATACATTAAAATATTATTTATCTTTATCTCAACCTAAGTTTTCAATGAATGTATAGAATATATAAATATAAGAAAAAACTCATATTTTATAGATTAAAAATACACATATACTATGGATGGATACTTAGAGCATTTTTACTAGTAGAATATAATCAAAAAATTTCAAGGTCACTGTCCTACTTTAAATAGTGATTTTTAAAAAATCCTTATAATGGAAACAAAGCAAAAGAAAACCTTTAAAACAAAAATGAATATCAATTTATTTTAGCATTTTTTAATAAACTATTCTGTAAGAAAGGATTTGGTGTACTCAGCACAAACAATGATATGAAAATAGGCCAAGGATTATTTAAATGAATACTGACAACATGATCAAGTCCCTGTTGCAATGATCTGGATCACTTACAAAAACAGCCAGAACAATCCTACAATCCAGTTCAGGATGCTGGTTCAGATCCTGTTTTACTTTGCCCTTCAAAAAATACTAAGTGGCTTCCTAGTTCCTGTAAGGACCCAAACTCACTGAGAAATTATTTTCTTCACAAATAATTCCATGCCCTTCTAAAATATTCCTGAGGCTTTTGTCATTGGTCACATGCCACGTACCTATTTCCAACATCAGACTCATTGTTCTGGTTTACAATACCCTGAAGGCTAAAAACTTAACACACCAGAAACATTTTAAAAGTGAAAAGTTTGCCTCAATAAACTAAAATGTGTGACTTCCACTAGCGTTTGTAAGAGAAGAGTATTAAACATTGGCAAGATAAAACCCACAATAAATATGATGAGTATCTCTGTTTCTAACGATATGGATATTCATCAAGATAGGCTCTTACACCCTACAAATGTCATGTTAACGACTTCCCAACATAAGCCAGTTTACACAGGGATCCTTGGGGTCCATAACAGAAAATATGTGACTGGAGGGCCAGTGAGATAAGAAATACCCAGGTGATTTTTCTGTTTTCCCAAGCACCAAAAAAGTCAAGAGAAGCCAATTCCTCATCTCCAACTCACATCGGTACAGGGAAGGTCTGAAAGACCACTACTAGTCCCTCGACTGAGGATGTGGTATGGAATTATTGCAGATGCCTAGAATGACCAGCACCAACTACAGGAGCTTAAGGAAGCCCAGCAAAACAGTGTGAAGAGCTCCATGGCAGTCCTGTATGAGTCGGACTACCCACCAAGGGCCTCTGGGGCCCAAGCCAGGACACCTATGTCTCCCACTCCCAATTCTAGCACCTGGCAAGGGAAGGGAGTGGAGAGATGCAGAGTCTAAGTCAAAATCTGCATTTTGTACATTCACTGTTTATTGATGTTATTTTTGATCACTGATCCCCTTTTGACAACATTTTTAAATGAGATTGATTGAACTGTTAGTCTTGTAGAATACGTTTTCGCAGTTTTTCCTATAGGAATCTAATAAATATAATGCTCATATACACAATGCAAAATGTTACACATTTCAATGTAATCCTTCTTAGCCAGAACAGAGGATAACATTTTATCTTGAAATAATTTAGTGTATTTCAAAGCTTTAAAAAGACACAACACCCAGAAAATTAATCCTGGTACAATGAAAATAAATCACTCAGAAAGATAAAGAGATTCTTGCAATATAACTGTCTAGTCAAATAGATGTGTTGTAAGGAAAACAAATAAACAAACAAACAAATACACCAAGATTATTAGAGGCAAGCAGCAACTGTAACAAACTGAAAAGTGAATCCCGCCATGCTTGTAGAAAGCCTGCTTATTCCAACCACCCAGGAGCCCCAGTGAAACAAGGCTATACAGAAATAGTCACACTACAACACCCCTGAAGAAAAAATTCCACCCTGGCTAAAAGACAAACTTAAATGGTTATATGCTATTGGCATAGAGATAATAATCAGGCTAAAGATGTTCACTAGACCAGTGATTGAAATTCGTATCTTTACGAATTTGGGTGACAGAATCACCCAAAGGGAAGTGGAAACTCAGGAAAGTTCAAAATCAAAAGAACAAAGAGTGAAAGGAAGCAAAAAGAGGACCTTGAACTTCTATGAATTGACAAAACCGAAACATTTCACTTACATAATCTGAGTCCCAATTTGGGGGTGGGGGTAGTGAAGGAAATGAGGGCTGTGTTGAGGGTTGGTTTGTGGAGATGTACAGAAATGTGGGAGGGGATATGGGGATGTGTGGGACTGTATAGGGAGCACTAAGATAGTGAGTGTTACAGGGATATTTGTAGGGGTGTGTGATGGATTTAGAGAGATGTAGGGAGTCATGAGGTTTTCTAAAGGTTTTAGGGGTTAGGAAGGTTGAAGAGTATTGTGGTAGAGCACCATGTATTGAATCATTATATTGTACACCTGAAACTAATGTAACACTGTCTATTAACTCTGCTGGAAGAAAAATAAAATAACAACAAATAACAAATAAAGAGCATCATATTAGAAAAAATATACTATATAAAACCACCTTTTGCAAGAACAAAAAATTAAAATTGAAGATTTAAATTACTATATTTATGGCAATCTCCCCTGTATTTTAAATAAATTAAGCTGACTTTCCTCACAAATCCATGGACTCAAAGTTGGGACAGTTCAAGTATTTATTTAGGATCAGAAGATTTATTGTACAGTTGTTTCACAGCGTTTTGGGACCTGAGAGATAGATTATTGAAAATGAAATCAGGATGTCATCACATTTCTTCTTTCAAACTACAAAAGACAAGTAACAGTCTTATTTCCAGAAGTATGATCTCTTTGACTATTTTTTTAAACCAATCAGAGTCCCATGAAATCAAGCACAGACAAGAGATTAAAATTGGAAAAACATACACAAATACACATATTTCTTATCCTGGTCCCTGAATAGTTTTCTTTTTGTTCTCAAATTTGCCCTGCCATACTTTATCACTTTTCTAGCAGATGGCAGCATGTCTGATTGTACAGCATCAGTGTTTCAACAAGCATTATACCGCATAAAAATATGCATAATCTGGTTGACCCCTCCTGGGTTTCTCACTTCATGGTTATTTTAATTTCTAGCCCATTTTGAAGAATAGGGTCAGCCTTTGACTTGCAAACGTTGGACATATTTTAAGTTTCAGCTTTCTCTTAGTCCCCAAATGAACAGTTATTGTGCACAAAATTTTCTACCCCTTTCAGTTCATTTAGCAACAATTCAGAACTGCATATGAGACTTTTCTTTCCCAGTAAGCTGCATCTTGTTTACTTACCCATGTAAATACAATATAATTCTCAAGTTATACATTTCTGAGCTTCTGATTTCAGAGGATTTTATCTTCAGGTTCTTACCTCTGAATTGTTAAGGTGACATTTGTGAGTTCCTGAAAACCAGCCATCACTTGAACATTGGTCAATGTCCACTTTCTGAAGATTTATGTCAACTTTCATAACACCCCTTAAAAACAGAGAAAGATAGGAGCAAATTAATCTGAGCCCTTATAATTTCTAATTCTGTATCCCATCCCAGAAATTAGACAAATCAACATCAAGAGTGCACTAAAAATGTTCACATTGCCCACTTATATTCAACTAAAGTGTACCAAGTGAAGATAGGGACACGATACAACAGAATCAGCAAGTATTAGTTTTACTTAAGTCCCTGTATTGTTCACTGTCTTCAGCTCCCTGCGTAATGTGTGGCACATAGAGGTGCTCAATAAATATTTGTGGATTGAGTAAACTCCAGTTAGTATTGCTCTGGACATGGTAGAAAAGTCGACTCTAAAATAACACCTGCTCCCCGTACCACTTCTCAAAGCAAAGCCCTCACCTCCTTTCTTTCTTTTCCTATTTCCCAGTGTGGGATAAGGGATGGGGGAGGGCGAGGGGCTGGATAGCATCTTTCCTCTGATCTTCTATCACAATGACTTTAAACAGGGCTTTGCAAGGGAATCAAAAGCAAAAATGAACTTTTGGGACTTCATAAGATAGCTTCTGTACAGCAGAGGAACCAGTCCATAAAACTAAGAGGCAACCCACAGAATGGAAGAAGATATTTGCAAATGACATTACAGATAAAAGGCTAGTATCCAAGATGTATAAAGAACTTCTCAAATGCAACACCTGAAAAACAAATAATGAAGTCAAAAAATGGGCAGAAGACATGAACAGACATTTCTCCAAAGAAGACACACAAATAGCTAACAGGCACATGAAGAAAATGTTCAACATCATTAGCCAGCCATCAGGGAAATACAAATCAAAACCACAATGAGATACCACCTTATACCAGTTAGAACGGCCAAAATTAACAAGGCAGGAAACAACATGTGTTGGAGAGGATGTGGAGAAAGGGGAACCCTCTAACACTGTTGGTGGGAATGCAAGCTGGTGCAGCCACTCTGGAAAATAATACGGAGGCTCTTCAAAAAGTTAAAACTAGAGCTATTCTATGACCCAGCAATTGCACTACTGGGTATTTACCCCAAAGATACAGATGTAGTGAAAAGAAGGGGCACATGCACCCCAATGTTCATAACAGCAATGTCCAATAGCCAAACTATGGAAAGAGCCGAGATGCCCTTCAACAGATGAATGGATAAAGAAGATGTGGTTCACATATATGATGGAATATTATTAATTCAGCCATCAAAAAGGATGAATACCCACCATTTGCACTGACATGGATGGGACTGGAGGGGATTATGCTAAGTGAAATAAGTCAAGCAGAGAGTGTCAATTATCATATGGTCTCACTCATATGTGGAACATAAGGAATAGCATAGAGGACATTAGGAGAAAGAAGGGAAAACTGAAGGGAGGTAAGTCAGAGGGGGAGATGAACCATAAGAGACTATGGACTCCAGGAAACAATCTGAGAATTTCATAGGGGAGGGGCGTGGGGGGATGGAGTTGCCCAGTTATAGGTATTAAGGAGGGAATGTGTTGTAATGAGCACTGGGTGTTATACACAAATAATGAATAATGGAACACTACATTAAAAACATGATGAGCTGTATGGTGACTAACATAACATAATTCAAACAAACAAACAAAAAATCAGCACTTTAGGTCTCCCAGTATTCCACACCAGAGATTTGCACCATCTACAGAAGTGCTGATTAGCATTTTTCTTCTCTTAAATCTGGAAACAAAAACACTGCATTTCACTTAGCCATTTGAGAAAAATCACTAAGAAAGAGAACTCACAAATTCAGAGCCAAAAGCAAAACTGCAAAGAAAGCTCCAGTTTTATCTCAGATTTCTCCATTTTCTCTAACCGATCTTCCAACAATATCCTAAGATCTGTCTCTTCTGTATTTCAGCACCATGAGCACTACCAGCAGCAGAAACATCTTTCCTACAGTGAACTTTCATAGCTGTACATCATTAAAGTAAATATTCTGTGTCCTGGGGCCTAAAGCTCAAAGCTTCGTAATGTCATTTTTCACAAACTTGAGTAAAGTATAAAACCTCATTAAAATCCACTAAAATAAAAACACATTTTTAAGGTCTCCTGTTCCTAATTTAAACTACTTTCATTATGTATTATTAAATATGTACAAATATAAAGTTAGGTTCAAATTCTTCATATTACACTTCTTGTAGCTACAAAAAAACACCCACAAAATCACAAAGTAATTACAAACAAAACTATCAAGTCAACAAAATTTAAATTTAATATATTAATTTAAAACACCAACGATTATGCTTTACCAAGCTGAACACCTCTCAGAACAGGAATATGGTACAGACTGTAGCCAGCCTATTTTACTACATGCTATGACTCATTTCTCTCTTTTCTTCTTTTAAACTACTGTGAAATCTTCTGACAGAGTAGCTTACTGTCATTTGGGCTTCACTTAAGCTGAATAAGTCTTTTACATTTTTAAAGGATGCCTCTGAGTTTTTCTTATTAACCTGCCACAAAATACTACACTAAGTAGTGGTAACATGCTCAAAAGGGACACAAAGCAGAGACACCAAAATCTCCTGTTAGTATTTGGTTATCCAGATAGCCCAGAATATGTGTAAGGTAAATTATCAGAGGACCACTGGAACGAAATCCTAAAAATGATCATAGAAAACTCACAAATCCTTCAGCGAAATAGACCTCTATTTGCAAACTACTATTATTCTTGGCCATAATTCTATAAAACAAGTGCCTGTTCATGTGATAAATAAATGAATTCCCAGGTAATCTAATGCCTTAATGAATTTCACTTCCTTGCTCCTTCAACAAATACTTCTTACCAAGTATGAGCATACCATTATAAGAGATACAACGAAGGTGAACAGCATAGGCCCAAATATAAAAATGTCGGAACATTTAATGAGAAAATATGGTAAATTCTGGGAAATTTGGGAAGCTATCATTTAGGGTATAGCCGATATTCCATAAACATTTGTCATTTTTTGGCTGTCTTTACTAGCAGGCCTTTGAACTATGTCTCACATAGGTCACACCAATCATGCAAGCCTACTCTAGGCTACTTCATGCTCTTTGAAAAATAACATACTCATTTGTTTTTCATTCATTCAATAAGTGTATGTTGAGTTAAGCACTCACTTTTGGGCCAAAACTGTTCTTGGCCTTTGAAACACAACAGTAAGCAGAAAAAAAAAGTTCCTGCCTCCATGGGGCTTAACTCTGGTGTGGGACAAATAATAAATGACAGCTATAACAAGTAAGTGAATTATGCTATGTATTACAAAGTAACAAGTGCATTGGCAGGAAAAAAAAAAAACAAACTTCAGGCAGGTGAGGGGAATGGGATTTGTTTGTTTGTTTTTTAAAGAGTGGACAGATTTCTAACCCAACCAATGACTCAGGCTCATATCACACTCTAAGTTACCAGCCATCTTCAATAACAATATTCCCCACTGGACTGTTACTGTCCACCACATTTCGGTGTTCTGCCATGAATGGCTTATTGAGAATGTTTCTGTAAGTAATAAACTAATAAAACTATGTATTTGTATTTGTTCCACATCTGTTAGTAAGAGCAAGGTCAAATTTCCCTCACCTATCCTGCTACACTGAACGAATTCAGTGACAAGAGAGTGCAAATGTTCCGCCTTGCTCCGGGACATGAGCCTCGTTGGGGTTCCTGGAGGCTACAATTAACTCTGGTCCCTTTCCTGGGGGAACTGGCTTAAGAAAGATATCTTAATCACTGAGAATTTTCCCTCTTGATTCTTGGTTCCTACATAAGAACCAAAAGTCACATCAGACCTTAAGCTCAGCTCACGAAGCTTTCTGGTCTTTGTGCAAAACCACCAAAGGTAATGAGTCGTGAGTTTACCAGCTGGGAAATCAGCGCTGACTCATCTTCATTAGCATCGCTGCCTCGGTGCCAGGAGACCTAAAAACCCTTGGGGAGGTGCGGATGATTTCCGGGGGGGGGGGGAATAGGGGTTTGGGGGTTTAAGTGGGAAGAGAACGCTCTCTCTGCGGAGGAAGGTATCCTGCTGAAAACCACACAGAGGCGAAACCACTCACGAGACACCCCTCCGCGGCCAGAGGTTGGGCAGGGCAGCGGCCAGAGGTTGGGCAGGGCAGCGCCTGCGCAGAGCGTCCCCTGAGCGCGTGCCTCTGGGGGCGGAAGTGCTGCTCGCACATCCGGTGAGCCGGCGCAGCGCCGCTGGGAAGCTCTGGGGGTGTGTAAGTGGCTGCGGTTTCCTGGGCAGAGGACTGGAGAGCGAGGGCCAAAAAAGCCTGGTAAGTGGCCTCCAGAGAAGAAAATATTAGCAAGTTATATCCCCCAACACCTGGATGCTTAGCTGAGCTGCAGACGTGCATTTTTGTGTCCTTGTCTAACACCTGAAACGCAACAAGCCCACAATGGGATTCATCCTCCACCCAAATTTTCAGTTCCCCTAATGTTCTTTGTCCGTGATTGCGCCTCGGTCCTTCCAGTTATCCAAGGCGATAACCTGTTGTGAAACCAACCCCCAACTCAAAACAAGTGCCACCTTCCCTCGATCGTACTCCCTGGATGCTCCTTGTATTGTAACCTTTCCCCTCCATTTTTACTATTACTGCCGTGGTTCAGGTCTTCATCTCTCGCAAGGCTAAAAAAATTTTTACAATCATTTACTGATTGAGTCGTGTCTCATATTGCTCCAGGAAGATCCTGTTCCTGAAATGTATATGATTTAAGGTCCTTCTCTAAGAAACAGACACAAAATCATGAATATACATATTACAATATGACCTTTGGCCTTATATCTTTGCTTTTTAACTGCAGTGTGGATAGTAAGATCATTACCAGAAGCTATTTCTATGCCAGTAGTACAAACTACTTTAATATATATTACTAGGGGTGCCTGGGTGGTGCAGTACCTTAAGCATTCCACTCTTTGTTTCCAGACAGGTCACGATCTCAAGGTCCTGGGTTGTAGCCCCTGCTTGCCTCAGCTCAGCAGGGAGTCTGCTTGAGAATTTCTCTCCCT